TGGGAGAACGGGTATAGAAGAATGCGTAATTGTTTTGAAAGAGATCGAGCTTCGTTGTCGTCATCGCCGCCGCCGCCGCCGCCGCCGCTGTCGCTGCCGCTGCTCGCGCTCGATCCTCTTTGCACCCTCTCTCTATATTTCTAGTTGAACCAAGTCCATCTTTCTCTCTTTTACCTTCCCTGTCTTTTCACCGGTGTATCTCTGTAACCTCTTCCGGCTCATCTTTCTTCTTCATAGCGAATATCAACTACCTTATCGGTCTCTTTCTCACACACGCACACACGCATACACGCGCGCGCACTCTCTCTCACACACACACACGCGCGCGCGCGCGTGTGTGTTCACGTGATATACGCAAATATTATAATGCGCGTTATCACTACGTTTTTGGCGAAGATTATATAAACATTATAATAAACTGATTATAATAAACATGGGAGCGACTTACATAAATACTTGCATATATAAATACATGTTTATTATAAGTCTTTACCTCGTTAGCATAAATGATAAATCTTTTTTCTTTCTCTTATCTTTATATAATTAACATGTACACATAGGTATGTGCACTTTCTTTTTCTCATCTCGTTCAATCTATCTCTTCATCATTCGCTACACACTTTTCCTTCGTTGGAAAAGTCGTTGGGATGAACTTCATCCCCAAGTAAGTCTCACGCGTCGTGCGCGCGTCAGTACGAAAACGGATGACATTTTTTTTTTCTTACATCTGTACATATCATATCGCACTTTCGTTGGCCCAAGCGAAACTCGCTGTCACGACGCTCTTGACATATTAGTAAAATCATATTTCGTCCTATATACATGTATAAGTGTATGTGCTATTTTGTATTTTTCTTTCTAAGAAAACTCGCTCGAATCTGACGTCGCTGCCGTTCCAGATGAGCGATAGGCGAAATCAATGCTTCAACCGCGGGGAAATAACGTATATAAAATCTGTTTTAAATCTCTATTTAATAGTGCAGGGACTGACAAAACAACCGAAATTTATTAATCCGTATTGTTGCAACATTTATATTGTTATCAAAAATTGGTCACAATATTCTTCATACTGCTGTATGCTGAACGATACACATGTATTTGTGTTTCCCGCATTAAACCTTTACGAGGGTGTACCGAACGCAGAAATTGCGCAGTAAAATTTGTTTTAAATGATCACGACGAAATGTCGAAATAACTAAAATTCATTAATTCGCATTAATATAACATTTATATCAAATTAATCAGAATATATTTCTTAATACCACAGAGCAAGTGCAATGGCATGTGCACAGTTCTCAAATTAAACGCTTATTTGCTCCGTCCATAATAACATTGCATGCAATTTTCATTTGAAATGTATAAATTTTAACATCCGGCAGTTACACATAACTGATTACGCTGTATAAATGTGAATTAATGTTTTTTGAACTTTATTTAAACTCATTCACTT